TAACAAAAAAAAAAAAAAAAAAAAAGGACAGGTGATTGATCACACATTTACGGTGGTAAAGTGTACATTTTATGGGCCAAGTAAGAAGATTTTTCATTACAAACTTTCACAGGTCCACTCCAGGCAGATATAAGGCAAAAGTACAAAATAAGAAGCTGTAATGCATGCAAGAAAGTATGACAAAATCAGTTTCTCATCTGGTAAGAGCAGAAAAATCTTCAGATATAAATATGTAAAGGCACAAATGTTAAGTAACTATAAAAGGATACAAAAAGAGTAACATGACTTCTGTTCCTCAAAGAATATCCTTCATAAAACTGACCCGCAGATTAAAAATTATAGAAAGTATTTCATTCTCTACAAGTGATAACCAGAAGAGAAAATATCTTAAGTAAAAACTATCCTTCCTTCAAATATGAACATATAATATGAGCAACCAAATCACAGAAAGGCTTAAACAGAAAAGGGGAAAAAAAGAAGTCATAAAAGACAGGAGAAATAGAAATGAGCATCAATTCAAATCAATAAATTTATCAAATTTGAAAACATTTGGAATTTGAGACAGGAATTACTGCTCCTGGCAGGTACTGTGAATGTTTTCACTTTGTATCCTGTCTTGACACATCAGGGATTCATTGTGGCTGTCCAACATCTTGAGCAAGTATTATACCATAGCCTGCTACTGTACAAACAGTATAAAATTCCAAATCAAATAAATTTTTCACTAAGTACTTATCACTTTTTGGTTTATGCTTCAGTACTAAACTGAATTCAGGGCTTTGCACTTGTTACAAGTTACTTTAGATCAGAGACACAGCCCCAGTGATTTTTACTTTATGTTGATCTGGGTCTTATTCCATTGTCCAGCTTGGCCTTACTATTGCAATAATTCTGCCTCAGTGTTGTAAGGCGCTGAGAGGAATGGTGGGCAGCGCTATGCCTCACTGAAGTTTCATTTAACCAAGCACAATAATCCCAGATAATAGCAGTGATTAAGGAGCCCCCATCTTAGCCAGGCATGGGGGCCAGGACCTGTCATCTCAGCAGGTGAAGAAGATGAAACAAGATCTAAAGTTTGCTGCAACCTGGCTAACATAGTGAGACTTGCTCTCAAAATTTTAAAATATTAAAAGTAGGGTCAGGGATTTAGCTCAGTGGTGCTGCGCATTGCATGGCAAGCACAATATACTGAGTTCGATCCCCAGTACCAAAAAAAAAGAAAAAAAGAAAGAAAAAAAAAACCCAAACAACAACAAAAACCCAAAATATGAAAAGGTGTGGAGAATGTAGTTCAGAGAACAAGTCCCAAGTTCAATCTTCTGTACAATAAAAACAACCACACCTAAAATCTGTTGTATCCTAGAGAAATCCCTTTCCATCACACTTAGATGATGATACCCACCAAGTTTTTAGCCATACAACCTCTGACAGTTTCCTAATTTCAATCTTTTCCTCAAAAATAATTAGGAATGAGCATGTTAGCACACACCTCTAGTCTCAATACTTAGGAGGCAGAGTCAGGATAATTGGCACAAGTTGGAGGCAAACTTGGTCTACATAGTAAGTTCACATCCAGCCTGAACTACATAGAGGCACCCAGTCTCATAAAACAAAGTAATTTGGTTAGGTTACCTGATCAGTAGAAGATGACGTTATGTATCTTTTAAAAATTTTCCTTAGATAAATGTTTACTAAATTTATCTAAATTTTACTGTCTTCTCCTTCCTTGCTGCTTGTGACATCTGACCCATTCTCAGACTGAGGCAGGACACAACAATCCTTTATTGTCACACTGAATCTAACCTCAGGGGACGACCCTCTTCCCTCATAGGCTTGGATATAACCATCATCACCATCCCTCCTCTCCCACTTTCTCCTCCCTGCACAGAAAATTCCTTTAGCACTAACCACTCAGATGGCTGCGGAACTCACATTTCAGGCTTGGCTACTACTACATTCCTTTAATATGCAGTCCACTTCAATTTGCTTTTCAACTCTTAAAACAGTGTCTATTGTTCAAGGTCTATAGCAATTTCTTGACATGCTGCACCTTTCCTTTTCCACTCCTACCAAATCACACGTCTGGGTATATGCCTGAGTTCAATGATTCTCACACTTTATGTAACAGTGTGAGAAGCAGCTCCGTCTGGAAGTCCGTAACAGGAACACTTTCTCCTGCTCTTGCCAACATGTTCCCATCCCTTCCCTGTCTCTCATTACTCCAAACTCTATGGGAAGGCCTCATTTAAGGGTTCTCTCAATTAGTAGAGGGCAACTAAATCATAAATGTTTTTGTTTTTGTTTGGCATTGCTATGTATGTAACATAGGTGTTCATTCCATACTTGGCAAGCACTCTACCACTGAATTACACTGCCAGCAATATTGAACATTTCTTTTTTCTTTGGTACGAGAATCTAACTTAGGACCATGGAATTGCCAGGGAGACATGGCACCATGGAGCTACATTTCCAGCCCTTCTTTTTTTCTTTTTTGTCTTCTGTTTTTTTTTTAGTGGTGGGGTTGTTCAGGTATTCTTTTTGTTGTTGTTGTTGGTGGTGGTCTTCTTGTTGCTAACCTAGGATCACACTACATTTTAGGCCAAGCTTGAACTCACTATGTACCCCAGGCTGGACTCACCAGGAACCTTCTGCCTCGGCCTCCCAAGTGCTGGGATTACAGGTGTGCATCACTGCCTGGTGATTCTTTCAATTCTCATGAAATGAATCAACACCTATTCTGAGTTTGACAATGTAGTCATGCTGCGGGATAAAAGACACAGGAGAGACCACTGGCAGGCAGGGGGATTCATCAAGTGGACGGCATTTATGTGGACTTGTGTTTAAAAGCAGTTGAAGCCTCAAATACATTTTTCAGCCTATATACATTTTCTGGAGGGTTGCACATGGAAAGGAACAAAGACTTTGTTTTTGTTTTTACTCAGGGACAGTTTCACAGTTTAGCCTCGAGAGCCATGTATCAGGAGTTTCAAGATGTCCTCAATTTTATTTACAGGAACACAGTGGCCAAGCTTATCTGAGTCTTTTGAGGGCAGTTCCTCAAAAGTAACAGGATTCACCTACAGGAATATAAGTCTGCCTTCTAGTACCAGGGGGAACTCAGCCTTGAAGGAAGGCAGATCCCTGAGAAACCAGGTCAGCACAGGACTCAGCAAAAACCTTCCGTTTACCTTATGTGTAGAGGAGGGAAGATCAGCAGGACACGGGGGTGGGGAGCTGCAAAAGCTAGGAGACTGCTTTCAGCAACGGAAACTGATTTTCCTTTAAATTCTGGGTTAGGCATCTACTGGAATGTGGACGATTTACTCTCCTCGCTGGCCTCAGGAGCTAGCTAAGCCGTGGCTCGGGGACCCTCATCGCGGATTTTTGTAACACGGAGGGGTCCGCGGGCCTGCTGGGGGAAAGGGCACCAGGGACCCCCGACACCAGTCCCCCCTCGACTCCCCACCGGAATCGGGGTCGCCCCACAACGCCCACTCT